CCCGTGGTGAGCAGTAATAGCCCTCGGCCGGTGGACCAGCCTCGAAGTTACACAGTCCGCTTGGCGTCTTCTTGTCTGGTTGACAGATAAAGCCCGGGGGCAGCCCCAAGTGAAATCAGTCGGTAGTGGAGAATTAACAGTGAATGTTGGGTTTCTAATACGTGTCGGACATATTGAGAGGCTCCAATCTTCCCAAGAGCCAGATAAATATTAGAGCCAAGAGAATTGTACTCAAAGTGGGTTGGTTGACCTACATGATGTAGCCGTAACTGCTGCTTTAGAATATCTGTCGGTTGTCGAAGATGGAACCGGAGTCTCCATTATAGATGCTAATGAATCGAACCGTGTCGAATAATTCATCTCTGTCGGTGCACTGCCAGTGGCACAAGTGCATATCGAGCGAACCGTCACTCTGGAAGTCGCTATGATGGTATCAAACTGCTCAGCATCAATTTGAGCAAGTGACCAACCGAGGGACGTTGAGAGTACCAAAAACAGCAGTTGAATATATAAGGCCATGGTTGAAAGTGGAAAGCTTTGTGTGCAGTTTGTACTGTCCAAAACTCAGGTGGATACTTATATGGGCAGTCAACGTAGGTGCTTTTTAGCAATCTGGAGAAAGATTGTTCTTTCGGAACAATCACATAATTCACGCGTCAATAGTGAGGCACTTTACTCCTTCAGATGCGGCTACATACGGTGGTCAGGTAGTCACCACTCGTTCAAGGAATACAATGTAAGTAATGCTTGTCTAATTCGACAAACAGTCTTGAGCTGCGGGGTGATGAAACATGGATATTCAATTGATCACTTACGATGACGATCTCGACAGCAGTTACACCTCGCGTCTTAGAACTATCTCAGCTCACAAAGAGACAACTTCCGCTTGAGGATGGTATCATTCACTGTCCTACTTCCAATCGTGGTCGAAATGAAGGATGGTTATTGAGTGATCCACTACGACTAGACTGAACAGCGGGTTACTGTGAGATATCGTGAATTTAAACAGTGAAGATTCTTCATACAATCTGCACTCGAGCATCGATTATAATTATAGCGTTATCGGTAGTATTGAGTCTATTTCGTAATCTTGCAGCTTCAATGCAGATCTCGTAGACGCTTGAACAGCCATCATCAATTGACCTGATCAATACCATCGTGGGGAATGGGTAGCAAATCTTGCTATCCGATAAATTTTTCAGATCATTGATTACCCAAAACCCTCGTGTAATCACCATCCGCTGCAGATATCTCGATCGTCATTGTCATCTTCATCCTTGGGTAAATACCATAATATCGCAGCGAACCCTGTTGTTTCCCCAGGAGCTGCGTCTCATTTACGATGATTACGAACATTTAGACTTTAATGTGAAGTAGCCCACCGGACCGACGCTGTAGTCTTCAAATCCCATTGAATCATATGTTATCTGGACTAGTCCCATGTAGTTGCTATCAGGCTTTGGGTCATGAACCTATGAGGCTCCTCGCGCCAGGCAAAAGGCTGGCTCACTTGTTTTCTAAAGTATGCCTCGCAGACTCAGCTGTGGGCCCGAGCATACATTTCAGGAGGTGTGCTAACAATCAATAGCGGGTAGCCGGTGGTGTCGTCAGTAGGCGAACCTGGTAGCTCATGGACTTGGTGATGATGCGTTTTCAATGGGGTGGCAACTGGAGTGCTGTCAATCTCCACAGCGCCTGTCTTACCGCGTAATACACACCGCAATTTATAATGCGTTTGTCGCAGACAGCACTAGGGACGATCAGCCGCACGGCAAGAGGGACCATCTGCGGGTGAGGAGAGCGGCACCGATGTGGCCATGCCTTCTGCATACGGATACCACGTCGGTATCGGTTTCGTGTGCTTGGTGTTCAATATTCCCACTAAATCCGGGTCGGCCTTAAGTATCGGTGCACTTGCTGTTGCGATTCCCGTGTTTCTATGTTGTGGTGAGTACAAAAAGCCCTTATCTGTATCCATTGCTTGAGTACTCACGATCCTCCAATCTGGCGGACAAACGGATCAGGGACGAGATAATCCTCGTCAACGTACCGTTAATATGACGAGTTGAAGGCCAGAGTATTCAAGTCAAAGATCCGTACGAACCCATCCTGAAGGCAGAGCGACGAATCTTTGTGGAGACCACTAACTATGAGCATGCGATCGGGTAATATCCGAAAGCACTGATAGCCACTCCGGCCATATTGTGATCGGCCCCTGTGAACCTTCGTCTACACGAAGGATGGTAAGCAAAGAATGTAAACATCATCGTAAGGGGCGAATAACGCATCCTGTCCGTCGTAGCCGCCGTAGATGTAAATATACGTTGTGGGAGCTTCCATCTGAGGCCGAAGCAAGGCTTTAGATAGAACATCCCCAGCGGTCCCTTTAATAAAACTTCTATCCAGCTCCATGTCAGTACGGCACTATCTTGCGGATGAAAAGAAGACAAATATACCATTTTTTCTGTGCGATATCGTATATGAAAATTTGTCGCATGAACTCCGGGTCGCGCTCGTTCTGGGTCGTATTAGCAAAATCATGTTACCGCTAGGAATATATAAGCGTCAATTTAAGAGGCCGCTTCGGATATTTCTTTCGCCTTAGAGATTGATAGGCCTGTAGGGAAATTTTTTGTGGATTAAGGACTCCTCCGATCACGGCCATAATTCCGCGCTCGGAAACCGGTATCCATATCACCTGGGAATCAGCTCGGTTGACGACGGACGATGGTAACGAAAAATTCTTCCAGACTTTTTGGTCAGTGGATATTCCCATGTTAACCATGATCAAAGTTATAGCTGCTGTATCTGTCGAGCTATTGTCCGAAGAAATCTGACTCAAGTCTATTTGACTGCAGGATCCTACGAAGGAAAATCTGAATGGTGAAAACACTCGATGTTGACTAGAAGGAGAGGAGGAGGAAGGAAGCTAAGCTAGACTACTGAGGTTGGTGGTCCCAGGAGGTAAGGGCGTAGCCCAGGCAGTATGGCAGGCCTCACCATCAAACAAAGTCTTTGCCTCGCATCCCACCGAAGTAACACGCAAGGCTTTTGATTGGCACGGATTCACTAATGGTGCTTAGTAGAGTGGAATTGAAGAAGTACCCCGTGTTCAGCTCTGACGGTTGAGTCGCGGATATATATCTAAGAAGGTTGGCGGAGTGAAAGCTCTTGGTGTCCGTTTCCCTGGTCACGCCATTATCCTGCAGAGCTGCAGAGTTATTTTGCGCTGTAATTACAGTAATAAGGATAGAATAACCGTATAGGAGAATTTCTTCGTCACTACTAAAAATGGCACCGCTTCTAGAGCTTTGATATTGGATTTGCGAGCTCGACTTTGCCGAAAATAGTACAGTCACATTCTTTGTTTGGGTATCGAATAGCTTGCTCAGAGGGAGGCTTAGAAATGGGCCGCTCTTGTGTTCTAGGTGGCTTCATTAGAAATATCTGACAGAGCCATTTAGAAACGCCTACCACCATTTTCAGGAGGGTCGAGCGCACCGTCCGAGTATCCGCTGGGACGAATTAGCACTGATCAGGAAAAGAATGAGGTACCTGTCTTTGCCACCGTAGCGAGCCACTGTTGAACATAATACTCTACCAAAACTGAGTCGCTTGGAACACTTCGCCTTCCTCATACATGATCATCAAGAAACGGATTTTGTATCACATCGCGATACTGATTCCAGTTACACATCATTGTATTCACTTGTGTCTTCCAACTTTGCGCATGAATTCCATTGATAAAAGAGAGTATGCGCGCAAGTGGCGTATAAACCTGGAATTTCGTGCGCATTCTGGGCTAAGCATAAGTAAACGAGGGTTAATCAGTCCAAAAAGCCCTGAGCGGGAAACATGCATCTCTAAATGAAGTCACGCTTGACTAAGCCTTAGTCAGAATCCTGGTCATCACGATGCTAGATTGGCAGTACTGAGCGTCATCTCACTTAATAGAACCTATGTTTATTCAGCGAATTTTTCGCGATAGGTTCTCTACCAACAATGCTAATACAGACTAGTCGGATTCTTTGTGTGCCATTGACACCGCCGTACGTCATTCGAACAACGACTGCCCAATCCATTCTTTTCTAAGTATCCCTTGCACCTAAGACCAACCTGTTGTTCGGTGAGGATTGTGGGTAAGGAAGCTGAGGTATTGGAGCAACTCACGATCATGGACGTGCGTTGGAAAATGGGGTTAAACCTCAACCTATAAGTATGATGCACTAAATTGAGTAGCTTTTTTGGACCCATTTTTGACTTCCTATAAAAAAGTCACATTGTCTTCTAATACTCAAGCACTGATTGCGACTTCACTATTTTGATGATTACTTTGATATTCCGTAGCTGAAAACTAAGCACTAGGCGTCCTGGGAACATGAAAACGTAAATGGTACTTATCCAGGAGGCATCACATTATGGTTCACTATGGGAATCGGGAAAGTTGATGGTTTGCAGTATAATAGTCGCGAATGGCATTTCGTCTTCTTCTTTGCTTCCTAATCGTCTTCTGAATCATCGATTATATTGCAAAATCACTCTTGCACGCAATCAGAAGAGGCTGAGATGAGGCAAGTAAAAAGGAAGTGGAAATACTACGGTCGGGCCCGCTTTTCGTGGCTACCGTTTATTCGGATTTGGAAGTTCCATCATACATACATAACGTGGCCAGATTAGCGCAATTTGTGACTTGTCAGGCGGGGAAAGTAGATCAGCATTTTAGGTAGCGATACACGATACTAAAGTCGTATCCTGATTTCCTGTGACCAGTCAATCCACTTTGCTGGCAAGGTTGTTTTCTAAGCTACCTTCATTGTGAGCAGGTACGATGCGACATTTGCGGTAGGAACCAAGTCCAATTAATTTAACCGAAAGTCCCCCGTGGACTGAGAAAGACGAGCGGCACGTGACTATATGAAAGTTGAAAAATTTGGACGTGTCTTTCAAATAGTGGCTCGCGAATGACTATTGATCCCAATAATCGGCAGTCGACCAGCGGCCTAGCGATAAAATTCAGCTTGCTCCAGAGTCTCATGCCACCCTGAATCCCAAAGGTGTCCGACAACACCTGCCGGACCTGTGGCAATTTGAGACAGCTGTAAGCCTGTTGCACTATTAAGGATCTAGATTTGACGGCTTCCTTGTTAGCATCAAATTTAAGCGTAAGATCTGTCATAGTTGTCCAAGCTTTCACTGCAGCCTCCTGCCCAAACAATCGTTGAGAATTCCCGTCAGGACAATTTCGGTCGATCTCAAGGGTTTTCCGGAAATCTTCAACCCAATGATCGATCCGAAGGGACATATAGTCTATCACCTTCAGCTCGAAATCTGTTGGGGAGTTCGCAGTGGTGTTCATCTCTATTTCAGCCGTTCCGGCCATCAAAATCCAAATATTCACCGCCGAGAAATGGGATATGCTACATACCTCCAGTATTACCTTCCAGATATTCCTCTAACATCTTGCAGTATCCCATAATCTCACTATCAAAGCAATCTCCACCAGAAAGAAAACCATCATTTCTTGCGATGTCAACCTCAACTCCGGCTTCTCCTTCCCGTATCGCCGTTGCAGTAACCCCGTCCCATCCCTTACACGGCGACAGCAATTGTGCAATACAGTCCAGGAATTTCTGGCGAATAGAATCTCGAGGCCCTGACAACATCATATTCTTCTCTGTCTCGTAGTCTGTCTCATGATCACTCGAGTCATCAGTCTGACTGCCGCTTTCCACGGTGTTCTCAGCTTTCAGTAGCTCTTCGTGGCTTTGGTTTTTTGTGAGATAATAGAGGATATGAGCTGCCCAAAAGACGCGTGCATGGCATTCTTCCGGCAGAGAAAGCGACGTTCTGTGCGGTCCAGCCATCGTGAGAGGCAAGTGACTGTTTCTGGGAAGAAAGGAAGAAATTAGCGTTCGGTGCTCGAAGTCAATACTTAATGGGCATTGACGGCCCGCTCAGCGCGGGGTAGTACAGTAAGAGTAAGACAAGCGGTTGTTTATGAATCAGCTCTGGTTTGCAGCGTAGAAGGACAAAGAGGTTCCTTGTGAGGCATCAATGTATTACCCTGCTAGTATTTGACGAAGTTGTGCGAGAAATCAAAGGGAAATACTCTACTATCTTAGTAAATAGGTATTTTCCATGTTAGCCAAGGTTGGGTTATGGAAATGTCGGGTATGACCCAATGAACAAAGTGGAAGCATCTGAGGGGTAATCTTTCTCCAATTCTGCCTAATGCCGGAACCTGTAATTACGGTAATTCTGGTGATCTACAGTGGCACCGCAAAAATTTCCAACCACCTCCCCTTGACCGCCGATTAACACCGCCTTTGCTACAAGTTGTTCTTCACAAACCACAGAATTTGGAAGGGCGAAATCTAATATTTCTATTCGGTCGTTTTACAAAACATATACAATGAGTTGCTGGAATTATACTGCCAGAAGCTGGAGAAAATGGTAGGAAACTCGAAATATTTTTGGCAGGCAGAATATTACATCAGCAATAGGTGGTCGGAGACTTTTGCGGTGCCACTGTACCAGAGATACATTGAAGAAAAAGAAGGCGGGACTGCTCCTGACCGAATACGGTCTAGTACGATTGGAGTGGGGCGCTGGGAAAGAAAACGTGTGTGTCCGGGGCGTAAACTGTTTTCGAAATCCACTGTACCGTATCATTTGGCCAAAGATGACTCAAAGCCGAATTATTCCGGTTTATACCCAATATTCCCGCCCTTTTATAATCTCTTGTTATATACACAACTCGTGTCTTCAGAATAGTCGCATAGGCCACCTCATTGCGATCGTGCCATATTTCTCAGTATCAACAAGTAAAAAAGATATTGAATACTTCAAAATCAGATTATGAAATGGTTGATGCGTGATTTTCAGATATAGTGTGAATTATTTCTTCGAAGACAGAGCAGAGCTACAAGAATAATTTTCTTTTTGTGCATTGATGATCAATTGTCTCGAAATATCTCGATTTCAACACTGCTTGCCTTGCTTCCGTGTCACTCGTTGTTACTGCGCAACACTGAAAGAATGGTGCCCCTCAAAACTTAAAATACAGGGTCGTCTTCCATTGTCCATTCGTAGGCGTTCTCCTTGAGTGTATTAGGCATGAAAATCCACGTAAGAAGTATGAAACTCGATAGAAGTGCTAGACAGGCACGAGCAGTAGACAGGTACCGTGGCGCAAAGCTTTTTCGTGCAGCTCGACGTATATTGTTCCTGTTCATTCCTTTTTGGTTTAACACCGATGGGCTCGATCTTTTATTTACCTCGAAGGCGTGAATAAATTGATCCCTTGTACCCTGAACATTGTTTGCGTAATCGCCCCATTTCTTATAAAGTTCACTTTCAGTTTTCACAAATTCTTCTAGGTCTTTCGCGAAATTATTCATCGTTTCTCTCATATTAGCCAGGGTCGCTTGTTTGTTCTTCTTGTAGTTTGCAATAGCCTGTAACATATCCTTGTCTATTCCACTGGTATCTGTGAGACAGCTCGTCGAAGAATGTGTTCCATTTGGTCGAGCCATGTTTGTTTGGTTGAGCTTCGTCCAAGCTCTTCACCAGCGTGTGGACAGCAGAAAATGCAGTAAGAATCTTGGAATCAAATATATAGGTCAGAACCTCTCTTATATAACACAATACCTTATTCTGAAACCTAAATTGAGCATATAGGTCTACGTGACTAACGATATGAGTGTATGTCAAATTTAGATTGAGTAATCTGTGAAAGTATATTACATGATGGAAACGTACCTCCTTTCGAGTTGACTATTGGACAAGCGAAAAGGCCCGGTATCTAAATGGTGTCTCTGTATCAACTTGACCGTGTATTTTTCCTTATGCTCTGCGTCGATGGGCTTGGATTAGCAAGCTTAGCCTTCGCCGAATCAATTATGGAACCTGTGCAATGTTAACGGTTTTGGCGCTGCTTATCAAGGTGAGAGAAAATAGCTCTTCCATAGACCTATTTCTGTAGCTTGACGGTACTCATACTTTTCCTCGGTCATGTACTCTCACAGTTATTTCTAAAATTCCAAGGGTGTTCCCGTAATCACTGCGCAGATGGTTAGGTTATTCCATCTGTCTTGAATTTTAATTACTATCTTCATGAGCCACAGGCGCTCTGAATGGGTACTGGTTTTGGCACTTCATTAAGGACTGACAATGATACAGCTTTGTAAGATGTTAAGAGCTGAAACTGTCTCTAGAAAGCTCATGTCGTGGATCATACAGTCGATTTCGAAAGAAGATTACCCCCCGAACACATACGCTTTCTTTCCCAGCGCCCCACTAATATTTCGCTAAGCTAATTTCGGCTAGATGGAGCCCTTTCCTGGGGCATGACGCCGCTGTGTGAGAATCTGGAACCGGGGCCATCCGGACGAGGCGCTAAAGTGGGTCCCGGGGAGAGGGAACGCGTGTGCCTGGGGGGTAATCTGTTTTCGAAATCGACCGTATAGAAAACTTCTCACCTTCTGTGAGAGATAGACTTGACCATCATTGTCTTGTAGTATCACCTCCGAAACGACCTTCGACAGAACAGGGGACTTTGTATAGAGCTGATGTAATTCGTTGTTGTTCACCCTGAGTATTATCTGCGTCAAGATCAGACTCTGTTCTCTAGAATCGCAGTTTCTACGTCTTCCGTGAAGGATTGGACAATTTTTGCCATGTTTTGAATGGCCTTTTATCTTTGTTTCTTGTAATACATAAATCTTTGAATGCTTCCTTGCTAGGTTGTGAAATTACTAGAAAAAAGGTGTTTCATCCGGGCGCTATCTTTACTCGAGCTTCGCGCAAGCCCTTCACCGGTATATTGGCAGCAGAGAGTTTGGTAGTGGATTCTCGGGATACCTTCCCGGAAGCTTACCAACTTGACCGTGCTTTATTTCTCGCTCACTACGTAGGGGCTTAGACGAGAGAGTATAATCTTCGTCACGTGAAAGTCACACTTTAACGTAGTGAGTTTTTCCATGCGCGAATACAATGTCAAACCGCCACTCTCTATCAAATTTGTAAGAATAGCTTTCGTGGACCATTTTCTGTAAGTATACCAGTACCCACAGTTTCTTCTGGTCTTATGCCCGAAAATCACTTCTGTGATTTACAAAATAGGAATTGCACTTCGAAGCTGGGACCTACCATTTGTCTACAAATAGGACTACTATTTCGAGGAGCTACATGCGCTCTAAATGGGGCCAGGTTTTGGTATTCCCATGAACCCTGATAGTGCTGCACTCTGCAGCGCCTATATAATTGAGGACATGACCAACATACCACCTTTCGCAAGTAGTGTTTTCCGACACTCATCTTTCTTCACCCCAAGTTGTCTGGACGAGCTAGAATTATCTCTCCTTGACCCAAAGAACCAACAGTGACCATGATAGATGAGATGATAAGCGTCTCTGGAGCGACCATAGCAACGGAAGAGATGTCTCTCGCGGTTATAGAAGATCAAGGGGATCACCTATTTAAATTAGTTAGTCCCGCACGTCTCCCCTGGCTTTCCATCTAATAACGGAATAGAATCTTCTTGTCGAGAATCTCCAGCAGCTAGTCTACGACTTACACGAGGAGATTAAAGACCTTCGAAAAGACCTTCGGCAAGAAAGGGGAGAGCGCCATCATCAACAAACAGGCCGTTCTTTTGAGTGCAAAGTCTGCTCGAAGCAACCGGACTCCTGGGTGGCGATGATCCAATGTGGTCATTTGGTCTGTAAATCATGCGCACAGAAAGATGGAATGAGAAGCACTTGCGATATCTGTCGAGCGGATGTCACGGGATTTTTCATGTGCTTTCCCTTTGAAAGTGTGGTAGCATACGCATGAGTGCGAAAATTGCAGTTCTAGTTCGTGTTCAAAGAATTTCTGTCCGTTAGGTTCTCGCCTCCGGCGGCTGATTGACTCCCTTGTTCAATTTTATCTTGAAGATATTTAGATCTGTGAATTTGTCGCAGACCAAAAAGTTACGACTGCCCACGGCTGTCACGAACATACTCCACCTGCACTTAACCTGAACGAGTATGCTCCTTTCGTTATGCGCCTAATAGACATAGAAATTACGCGGTATTGAACAGAGCATAGTCTACATATATAAACACCACATGGTCTGGATTCTAAGATGAACTGTATGGCAAGTCATTGCAGATTCAGTGGGTACGTCTATCATAGTAGTGGACATCCAATGGTAACAAGTTCTGGAGGATTACTGAATGTTCCTATTCGACCAATTCCTCGTGGTTCTGCTTTATTGTCTCCGTATAAGGTACTAATAGACTATTATTTTCTGCCTCTCAATCCAGTGCGCGCCACCTGCTGGGTGCTTTTTCCGCTCGCGGGTTCATTCAGCTCCCAAACATGTATTCACGCATGCGGAATCATCATCGTCTTTCTATACTCACAATTCGCACAGATAGAGCTTGAAATACGGTGTACGGATGAAATATTTCAGTCATACGTACACTCTAAAATTCGAGATGTCCAGTTGTCGAAATCGTGATAGTCTTTGATTTAACATTTGTGAATCCTATCATCAACCAGTCTTTACCATGATATTTCCATACAGTATTTCTCCAAATCAGTCTGACCTTAAACTCACCAGACTTGATTCACGGGAAATATATCTCTAAGCAGACGAGTAATGATTAGCTGTTGTTCTTAGCATTCTGACCCAGACCGCTTTCTGTGGAAGGTTCTTTATTCTAGAATACAACTCTCATATTATAAGTCGTGTATTTTTCACGCAACAAACGGTCACGTAGTCTAGTAAGAGCTTGATAAAGTAGCCTGACCACCCTCAATCATTGAAAGGATAAGAGGGGCGGGTCCCTGATTAGCTAATATTCCACTCTCTTCTGGGATGCTGCTTTTCCTCTCCCCTGATATTGGTACAGAGCAAATCTATCACCGCGTTGAAAATCGCTGGACATACACTTAGAGCGTCGCGCATAAACATAAGTAAAAAATGCTAATCTTATTATCAAGGAGCAAATACACTCAGCTATTGCTCATCTCATGTTGTTTGTGCTGTACCTAGACCAATTCAGGATAATTGCGGTCGTTGTTGGATGCATGCGCGATGGTAAGATAAATCCAAAGTCGGACCATGAATTTTATTTCTTGTATTTCCAGTCAAATGGCATTGAGACTTCATAGTTCTAAGTTAGAGAGATTTGAATTGATCCAGCTCCAGTCCCTCAAGAAAACCCTCTAGGGCCCCGAATATGGATGCGAAGAAGGATCCAGGGCAGCTGTGGTTATCTATATATCTTGAGGGTGAATCGTACCATTCGGGTGTTCGGAATTTCGTCATTCTCTGTAAGAGAGACCTGTAATTGACGTTCGGGAAAGGGCACTCGCGATAGGGCAGAAGTAAATCCTTTGACTGGATAGTCAAAGCACCGTACATAATTGAGCGACATTCGAAGCGGCAGCCGAGCGCGCCAAGTAAATACTGTTTGCGCGTATCACCGATAAGGTCTATCAACTTCTTGATAGCCTTCTCTCTGCGTCTATTGATCAAAACTATAATACCATTAGTCTTTCAGCTAATAGAATGATGTATATGCGCTCACCTATGACATCCTCCGGAATCGGCAGTCCCAAATTATCAATACAACCATCGCTCTGCGAGATAGCGATTGATGTGGATAAGTTGAATTGGGTAGGGAGTCGGAAAAACCAAGAGACCCACAACCATAAAATCAAATCCCTCGAAGCCACCGACTGAGTCTCCTCTTCCATTTTCTCGATTCACAGCTCCGCCAGAAAGTCCAGAGCTTCCCGGCATTCGCAATAGTCTTCAATAGCAGCAGTCTTCGCAAGCATCTCCATGGTCAGCTTTCGGGGCATGTGGGAGTATTGGCCGTGAATGGCTTGAAATACTATCATGAGCGCTTCAACATCCCAGCCTTCCGCGGTGATCTCAACTGAACCCTTCTGGAAGTATGCAACGCTGCTTTCCAGCACCCAGTAAGCAGCCTCTTGAAGAACGGAGAGGCAAACATCAAATGCTTCGCAGAGACCTGAATACGCGAGCAATTTTGACCCAAATGGCCTTCGACACCAGACGCTTTGTTGTGAACATGACAGGAGGACTTGGGTTGCGGACTTGGATTTCTTCTGCAGAAGAAATCAGTATCGGAGGACAGGGACACGCCCACCACGTCTGCCACGCGCTCAACGCGCAGCACCTCAAAACTTGGGATGTACTGTAGCTTCTTCTTCTTTCCCTTTTTCCTCCCCAGCTCTTGAGATCCTTGAATACCACGCAGACAGTTTGAATGAGAGTTTATGAGTCCTTCTGAAGCTTTTCCTAAACTGGCGTACAACACGCTTCAGCAACGGTAGCTTCGACAAAGGGCTCTTCAACAAAGGGGTCTTCAACAGCGGAACATTCAGCAAAAGGCCTTTGTTTTTTTGCCTTCCTCTTCTTTTTCCTATTATTATTCTCGGTCGAATCTACCCCGCGTGCACCATGTGGAGATGTGGGAACTCGGTACACGGGATCCTAATGTATATACTATGGGAGCTTGTGGAGTCCTACCCAGACTCCAAGATTCAGCCTTTGGAAACCAGACCCTATAGACTAGGTTGGACTCTTTGCCTAGCCAACAGGTTATCTGACCTGCGATACAGACCCCGTAACATTTACTTTCAATCGGGACTCCCAATTTACAACGTTGCCCGGTTTTACGGGGTTTTTTCGGTTTGTAGCATTCACTGTTATTAAACTCCCATGTTCCCCGACAGGAGCACATTATACAGTATATGCATGCACTCTTTTATGATAACGACGAGCTTATTGTGTGAGAACTGTGACATGAGAAAAGAAGGTGAACGGTGAAGCACTACTGTATAAGGGTACAGTTGAACTTCACGAACTGATACATCATTACAGTACCATTGAAATACGTTCTCGTTGTTGTACGCCAGTTCAGAAAAGCTTTAGAAGGACTCATAAACTGTTCATTCAAACTTGACTGCGTGGTTTCGAGAATCTCAAGAGCTGGAGGGGAGAAAGCGAAAGGTGAAGAGGCTACAGTATATTCTTAGTTTTTGAGATGGTGCGCGTGGTGCGCGTGGCACACATGGTAGGCGTGTCCATGTCCTCCAATGTCCTTCCTCTCATCCTGAGATTGTCCGGTCCTGCCATGTTCGCAACACTCGTAACTGGACATTTTCTTTACGAAACCAGTTCTGCCAGGCTCTCAGAGCGGTAACCCTAAATAGCATTAGCGCATTTCGGAAGTTATCTTCCGGCATCACCTCTCTTGAGTTCAGGTCAACCTGATTTCGAAGATATCCAGAACTGATGTCGTGAAAAGGACTGGCAGAGGATGGTTATGGTTTTCTGCACCAACCAGCAAAAATCTGAGTATACCTCCATCTTGGAAAGGCAATTAGACTTTATACAGCTTAGTTCACGGGGGGAATGACGTATGCCCCCTCGTCTAGCACATGTCTCGAAAACGGCAACCTGTCAAGAATCACCAATTAATTCGCCGCGAAGTGGCAGTATACTCGTATGCTCGTTGCCTTTTGCGGAAATGAGCAACCGAACTCAAATGGTAGTGAACATATTTATCGCTGTTTTCTCCTTTTTCTTGTACCTAGCTCGCTCTACTGAATGGAAGGTATCACCATTACCTCTACATTTGTGCTTTAAAAGATGGCTCGCTTAGGCCATAATGGGTGACTTTGTATAATAGCCTAAATCTTTATATCACGAAACAAGATAGGGAGAAAGAAGGACTATCGAGGCGAAATTGATTAGCTAAAGAAGCAGTCTACTGCTGATTGCTTCCGTGAAACGAAGAGATCATTTGATGTTGGCCAGGCGTATCTGAGGCTTGCGATCTGCAGCCAAAGCTGATGGGAACCCAGTTATTGGTCTCAAGGCCCTGTCTCTTTATGTCATGGCTCGCTGGAATCGACAACTGCATTTATTTCTAACAAGCCTGTATTCGATTTGAACACCATGAATAAAACCTTTGAAGTTCTCTCAGGATATTGTAAAATCCGTAACCGCTAGTGTGACGATGTTGGCTTTCTATCATAGAGCTTTCAATAGCTTTCAATTCCATTTTCGAATTGCCTAGTAATGATTATAGAGTGCCAGAATAAATCGAATATCAGAATATTGTACGAACAAAACGTACAGTGCTATATCGCTCCAAAACCGCGACAAGCGAAGGTGAAATACTTTAACTTGCCACTTAGTATCACGTTCCCTCCGCCCTATAAGCAGACCCGCAAAGGGCAAAGGCTACCCGCCGAGGTAGTCAGGCTCCTGGGCGAGCAATTTTACCAACCGCACTATATATTACTACTGCGTTGCAGTTGGGTAAGTCTATGTGGTAATACGCAGTTAGTGTGTCATAGCGGACTCGTAACGTAAATTATAAATATTCCTTGAAAGGCGGTTTGGTTTGAACTCTTACATATGCTTTAAATCTACCTCGTGAAGTATGATGTCTGGCCTGTTCGAGGTCGATCTGAATTCGAATAGTACTCGCGATGGATCAATCCCCGCACTACGTCTTTGAAAAGGCTTAGTAATAATCCCTGATGTGACCTTACCGGCCAGACGACAGACGCAATTGCAGGTAGTGTGTGAACATGACATGGTAGCTTTTCTATGGTGCGTAACTCATGTAGAATGAGACTGCGGTGGCTATGGAAGAAACAAACCTCCAGGCTCTATGCGCGTGTAGAAGCATGTAGAAGTAGACAATATGAAAGAATTCTCCGCGGTGTCTTCATTCGATCACGATCTTGCGTCAATGATTTCAATTTCAAGCATGCAAAGAAAATTTACCTGGTATTCAGGTCTTCTAAGGAGTCGTCTATTTCTGTTGGTGGGACTGTGCATGCGGCGCCTTCCGAATCAGAGCACCGTTCCAATTCGGCGAAGAAAGCAATCACGTGCATTTTTTGGACAAAAATCTCGGTACGCTATCTATTCTGCATGTCTCGCTCTATTACTATCACGAGAAATGCATATTCACAGCGCTTTTTTTGGTACTGCGAAGAATTTTTGAGATGAGGGTGTCCAAGTTTGAAGCAAGTGTCGTCAGTTCTGTAAGTCATATCATCAATATATATTGCCAGCAATACCCTTCACTTTCACGAACCTTTACCGGGTTCAAAATCACCATTCCAGAATGAAAGTAAACGGTTTATATGTAATGATGATTCTTCTCGCACGGTCGGTTCGGGGGTCTCCAGCCGTTCCGCCTCCGCAAGGATCATTATCCATACACAACCATTGTGGATTTGTATTTTATTATGTGCTGACTGCAGATGAGAATACCCCCGTGAACTCGGTGAACCCCGACCAAGTTGTGGCTGTGAATTTTGAAAACAAGACAGACGGGGGTGGTGTTTCTTTCAAGATTGCCAAGACTGAAACTGATCTACAGAGTTGTACTGATCCAAAACAAGGTTGTATTAATCAATTACAGGCGGAGTTCACTCTCAGTGGTTGCGAAATTCGGAACAATGCCAGGTGCAGACTTTGGTATGATTTGTCTAGAGTCAACGATCCAAATGGACAATTCGTTGGCATCGAGTACTCCCTGGCTCCCAGAGTTTCGACCTGCCACGAGCTCGTGTGTCTAGCCGGAGACAATCGGTGCAAAAACGAATATATCTTACCTAACGACGATTACGCTACGACATGCTGTGATTTTGGCGTTGGTGCCAGGGTCGAAATAGACCTTCACCTTTGTTCAGTTCCTAAATCATCTACAGCCCCCTAGGTTTCATTGCAATGTTCAGCGCTAACTATCTTTGATCACAGTTTTCGAGAACGTACCTTATCAATACGTAGTCACGGCGAGTATTCCCACTATTACAAAGACAATCAAGGTAACTAGTTAATGGCAAGGTATGTATTTGTTCGTAAGCTAAAAAATGGAGGCGGAAGAAAGTGAAATGAAGGAACCCAGCCTCCGTGCTCGAGAAATCAATCTGTGGGTCTCATGTCTGCACTGAGAAAATACCCTCCAGCAACGCTAGTACGTACGGAATACCATGTCTTCCCAAAGCAGTGCAATTTCGGATCTTTGCGTCCATGGGTTTTCTTTTATGTTCCGGTCGGCTAAAGAGTTAGCCTAAATCACTGATAACCCACTCGTTACTAGTAACCTTGACATGTTCTCGGCCCCTTCAAAATCTACTAACCTCCACTGCTGTACTGTTAATCGCTCGGCCTTCTATATGTAAGCTATTACTGTGCGCTGAATATCCAAGAAGAAGAGTGAGTGACGTATTAATCAAACGATATATTCTAGCTAGTGGCTATGGATGGGGTTGCTAGAAGCTCAGCTGGGACTGCACCTCGAATGGTGTGCTGCACGGAAGCACATTGCGACCTTTTGCAGATGCTGTACCTGGGATACTGGACAGGGTCATCTCGTGTCGAAGATGATATGACCGCGAGCGAAGTTTTTCGCAATTGACACAATATCAACCACACTGGGAATATTCTTGTTCGACGTATGGCGGAGGCTTCGATATCTGGTCGGGGTGGCAGATTTCTGCATCCATAGTCTGAGCGGATTTTGTCATCTTCGCCAAGCTAGCGAAATCGTAAACTAAGCTGGACTGCGACTCGGCGAATGACCATCATGGTATCAGTGCTCGAAACTATTTGTTTGTGGTGAGGCCTGCCATACTGCCTGGCACACACATGGGCTACGCCCTCACCACCTGGGACCACCAACCTCAGTAGTCTAGCTTAGCTTCCTTCTTCCTCCTCTCCTAGTCAACGTCGAGTGTTTTCACCTTCAAGGATTTTCCTTCGTAAGATCCTCAGTCAAATACTATTCACGTACTTATCTGTTAATCGGATCCAAAAACCTCTTATATAGCGCATGTTGTGGCCGCGGGCTACAGGTGATATACACCCTGGATACGACAGCATATGCTGATTTTCTCAGGTATTTGTACTTCATATGGACTTTTTGATAGTTGATCTTGTATAGGGCTACGTTTAGATCATAGTCCAAAAAATACCCAGTCACTTTACGTCTCTCGGCGTAATTGTAAACAAATTGTGGCATACAGTTCGTTAACATTATTTCTCACCGGTCGGGCGCTGTATATCATATCAGGGCTTGGAATCCTACCTGCGCTTCATTTTGAGGGCAGTCGGATGTTCCGGTCCTCGCGCCATATGCAGGGTCAGATCCTCGCACCCTAGAAAAGCACTATGGAAGCGATCATAAAAAGGAAGGATTGTCATCCCAGAGTTGATATTCACCTAACATACGAACGGATAACATTACAAGTGACTTTGTATAACACAGACTCTTCACGAGAAGCGTCCATGAATCCAAGAAGCATCCTTCTTTCGTTATCTGAGTAACGTAGTCACTGAGTGCAATTGAAAGCTCTGCAGGCTCGCAGGTCGTGAAGTAGTTTTAATCATGGCCTAAGTTTCTGCTATTCTTGGTTCTTCGGTAACCAAGAATTCACATATCCGAGCATCCAATGATATTCGCGAGTATGAGGTTGTATCAGCTAATATCGGGTCGCGTCTAGTCTTGAATATGAATCGTAGGTCATAGGTCAGAACCTAAGAAGTGGACTTTAACCGGACCGATTTCATTCCTTGGATGTAGAACCCTTTAATTATATTACAGCCAGTGAAGCATTCAGTGACTACACGGCTAACGTATATAACGTAAATCCCGGCCGTCCCGGCCACCCTCTCCCATTAGAAAAATTCAAAATCGATTGTCTCAATCAACGCCTAATAATTTAACTAAATATAGCGATCTTTACATGAATTGATCCTGTGGCCAATCCCCCTGCACCCACTACACCTAGGCGGAGCTCTAGTAGCCGGTTGATCTGCCTGATTAGGCGTTTCGCCCTGCGTATACGATACTGCCTCACTAACTTCAACTGGCTGATTTGGCTGCTGAGTTAGTTGTAGGCCCTCTTGAACGGTTGAACCTTGGTCGCAGGGTATCTGCCTAGTTTACCGTCTGCGCTTCTTGATCACATTCTCATTTGCTGCGCGTAGATCGGCGTTTTCTCGCGCTAATAGCGTAGTATGGTGTAACGCGAAGCAGTGGCCCTTGATGATCTGATCTAGCATGGTTTTCGATAGGCTTGGAGGGCTATTCGACCGCTGTTTAGTAGATCTTTAAGCATCCACGCTTGCTTTCGTAGTTGAATCACCGTTCTTGGTGTTTTTGGTGTAAATTGGCTAGATCTGCTACTTGGTCGGCTGGTTGGTAGTGTAGGCGTTCGTAGAGAGATATTAAGCTTCGAAAGTACTCTTTTTGCATCAATTAGCACTAGCCTACTAGCTGCGAAGCTATTTTGAATAATGCTTAATTGGTAGGCTTCTTGCTGCGCGCGTTGCTAGTCGTG